CGGGAAAGCGCAGGGTAGGCAGAGGCAGCCGGGTGCACCCACTGCTAGAGCTGTGCGCAGGACGCCTGGGACTCAAGCCTGGCGCTCACTTCCTAGAGGGGGAGGAGGGGGAGTTGATGCGATGGGGCTGCGTGCCAGCTCTCTTCTCCCCGCAGGGAGCCGGCGTGCAGTGCCCCGTCTGCAGGGAACCGCTGGTCTATGACCTCTCTGCTCTGCAGGCAGCCCCGCCCCCACAGCACCCCATGGTAAGGAGCCCCCGCAGACGGGTAACAGGCCTGTGTCAAGCTGATGCAGGTGGGAAGGAGGGAGCTTTTGCGGGTGCCTGAGGCATGTGTCTGATGGGTACGAACGCCCCGGGGAGAGGCTGGGGCGCTGCCCCACAGAGCTTCCAGCCCCCGTGACTGAGGGGTGATGGGGCAGAGCAAAGCCAAGGAAACATGGCTCCATCTCAGCACTGACTAGAGCCTTGCAAGGTGCCGTCGCTGCAGTCAGGCCAGGCCCAACAGGCCGACGCACAGACCTGCCCTGGGACAGACGGGCCCAGGCCGGTCCCTGCTCTGATTTCCAGGTGCACGGAGGAAAGCTGCCCTGTCCCTTCAGCGAGTCCTAGTGCTTGCTGGTTCATGGAGACTGCTGGCTCTCCAGCCCCCTCGCAGGGACGCAGGCCGGACCAGACCCTGAGTCAGAGTCCTAGGGCTGGAAGAGACCGCAGGAGTCCAGTCCAGCCCCCTGCCCAAGGCAGGACCAATCCCTGGTTCGGCTGCTGTCTCTGCTGCAGCTGCCCCGAGTCCGACCCTCCCGCAGGGGAGCCCAGCACCAGTCGCTGCAAGGGAGCACGGTGGGGCGCTACCAGGGTTCCCTCTCGTTTGCTGTCTCCGCGTTAGGGATGCAGGCGACTCGCTGACAAGCAAATACTTCTTGGGTTGTCAAGTAGGAACTCGCCTCGTCGCTTCCCACCCCCCTTGCCATCTCTGTCAGAGAGGCAGCAAGGGGGGAGCACGAGCTGGTGCTGGGGGGAGCTGGCTTAAAAGCGAGGGGGGTGCTTCTCTTCCCGGGTGCTATCAGGAGCCGCCTGCACCAGAAGGGGCTGGCCCAGAGCACAGGGGCTCTAGGGGTCCCAGGCTCAGGGGGCCTGGCCTGCAGCCCCAGTGCCCCTTTCTTCCTCCAGCCCTGCTGCGGGGGCCAGAGGGTGCGCCTCCCCCCGGCCGTGGCAGCTCCGTGCGGGGCTCGCTAGGCAGCGCTGCAGCTCAGAAGGAAGCTGGGTGGCTTGTGCCGGAGGGAGGCCTGGCGCTGCGCTGGCTCGGCCCCAGGTCTAGCTGGCTGCAGGCGTTTGGGGCGGGCGGGGGGCAGCCGCTCTGTGCCAGGCTGGATATGGCCGGAGCAGGGCCCTCACACCCCTGCTCTTCCCCAGGAGCCGTACAAGCCCGATGCCAAGACGCTGCAGGCCCGGGAGGAGCTGCGCAGAATCTACCGAAGGCAGCAGGAGAAAGGGGGCATCATTGACCCGGAGGCAGAAAGAAACCGTTACTTCATCAGCCTGCAGGCGGTACGCTGCTCCCGGGCCGGGCGGGGGCGCTGCGCTGCAGGCTGGTGCGGGGAGGGGGCGCCGGGCTCTGCCGGCCCATGGGGAGCTGCCTTCTGGAGCTCCGGCAGGTCCCTTGCCCGCTGCCACACGACGTTCCTACCTGCCGGGAGGGGCAGGGTACAGGTCCCAGACTGTTTGGGGTGGGGGTCGCCCCCCCGAATGGAGCGCTCCGCCCCAGGGTGGGCGTGGGAGCCGGGCGTGGCCAAGCCGTCCGCGGGGCCCTGTCCTGCAGACAGTCGGGAGTCGGGTCACGCCGCAGGCCAGCCCTTTCCTCACCATTGGCTCCTTTCTCAGCCTCCGGCAGCTGCTGATCTCGGCCACGGAGCTGCCTCCGAGCTGTCGCCGCCTGAAAACGCTGAGGCTGCTAGTGAGCAGCTCTGCCAAGCTCCGGGTGTTCTGGAGCCTGCCGGGCCCCCCCGAGCTCTCCCGCTAGAGAGAGAACCAGGGCAGCTGGCGAAAGCCTCCATCCCGCTGGAGCAGCAGAGCAAGAGAGACAGGCGCCGGGTAGAGAGGCCGGAGTTCAGAGGCCAGGGCAGGCAGCCGTACAGCGACGCCCAAGCAGCAGCTGCAGAAACTTACCGCCTTCTCCATGGCTCGGGGGGACCCAGCAGCTTCGCCTGGAGACCCGACGGGAGCAAGAGACCCAGTGGGAGATCCAGCTGGGAGTTCCCTAAACCGCACAGCAGAGGCAGGGGCGCTGCCTTGGCTGATGGGAAAGATGCGGGCCCTGAGGGGCTCTTGCTGGTGAAAGGGGCGAATCCTGGTGTGGGCAGACAGGCACCAGAGCCAGGAGCTGAGACCCAGGGCAGGGAGAAGGAAAACCTGGCCCTAAACCATCGTGACGCCAGGGGACCCACCAGCTGGCAGGGCTATCACAGGACCTGGGACTGTGTGAGATGGGAGAAGTCCTGGGGCAGAGAGCGTGGGTCCTATCCCCGGGCACCACGGGGGCGAGGGGCATTCAGGCCCAGTGGAAGGAGAGACCCCCATGGCCAGGTGAAGGAGGATGGCTCCTAGCAGGAGCTGGGGCTGGTGTGGGTGGGGGGCAGGTTTTGCTGGGTGCACAATTAAAGAATCTGTTGGGATATCCGCTCTCCGTTTCTGGCTCCCGGAGAAGAAGGGCCAGCCTGGGTCTTGGTGTGTGGGGGCAGCTGGCTTGGGACTTGTCTTCCAGGGTTACACGCTCCCTGTATGGGAAGACAGGACCCAGGAGTAGCCAGAGGCCTCGGCTGCAGCCATCAGCAGAGGGGCTAGGCTGGGCCTCCCCCGTGCGGCAGGCTCTGCCCCGAGACAGGCTCCTCGAGCTGAAGCAGCAGCCCAGCCTCACTGCTGCCCGCCCTGCCGGCATGTGCAAGGCCACGGGCAGCAGCAGGGCTAGAGCTGAAGGGCAGGCGGGACTGTCCTGGGGAAGCCAGGCCTGGCACCGGGACAAGCTGGCCCCCCCCTGCCATTGCTCCGCAGTCAGTCCCCCGGGGCAGCCGCCCGCACACTGGGGCTTCCCGCCGCCCGGTGCTTTGGTGTCTTGGAGCTTTGAAAGGGCCGTTTGCTCTGTCAAGTGCCCTGTCCCTTTCTCGATGCCCCCTGCCCTGGTTCTGCCTGTTCAGGGCTCAGACCCGGCTCTCCCCCCTTCGAGGAACAGCCGGGGCTGCTGTTCTGCTGAGCGCGGCTTTTCTCGGCACGCTCCAGTCTGTCTCCCCGGAGCCGAGCCAGCCCCCAGGCGGCGTTCTCCCCCTGCTCCTCTGTGTACAGCCCCGGAGCGGTAACCCCCAGACAGCCCCTCAGTGCTCACCGAGGGCTTTGCTCCCAGCCAGGCCAGAGCAGGCTTGTCGGGAGGGACTTTGCTTATTGAGCCGGATTCTTTCAGTCTCTTTGCAACGTTCTCCAGCAAGGCCGAGCATTGTGTCACTGCGCCTGGGTCGGCCCTGCCCGTCCTTCCACGGGGTGCCTTCCCCCTTTGCCCTACAGCCAGTGCAGGCAGCAGACGGGGACTGGGGTAGAAGAGACAAGCCTAAGGCCTTGGATTCGTGTCCCAGCTCCCGTTCCTTTGTCTCACTCAGCCAGGCACAGCGGGAGCTGGGGCCCAGCGCCTGTTCCCAAATGACCCCGCGTTATCTGCCCCCGCCCTGACCCATTGCCTGTGCACTGGCATTCAATGCCCTCGCTGCAGTGTGTCTGGCTCCCCCAGCGGGGTGTGCACAGAACAGTGCTCTGTTTCCTAGCAGCCGCCCCGGGACTGTTCTTTCCCCCCTCCGGGGAAGGCTGTAGTCTAGGAGGGCAGGGCGTCTGCATGGCCCGGCTCCTTCACGCCCGCTTCAGGGCTGATGTCCCTAGGAAAGGTGATTCTTCCCAGCGCTGTGCTTAGTAATGCAACAGGCAGGGAGGGCAAGAGAATGTCCCAGTTGTGGGGGGATGGGGCTTTTAGGGGGATTCTACTGGACGTGAATCTGGCACACGGGAGCCAGGGGCTGCTGCCTCTTGCTGAGCAGCCTGGCAGGGGGAACACGGGGAGGGTTTTGCCCCGATTCCTATGCGGTGGAGGAACCACTAGGCTCCCCTGGAGCAGTGCTGCCTCGCCCTCTCGGACCCTCCTCTCCGTGCGGTCAGGCTGGAGAATTCTAACACACACTCAATTGTCAAATACCAAACTGAGCGGGAAAGTCCTGAACCCCCCCTTGCAGCAGGGACAGGGAGCGGCGGAGCTGCCCCCGGCATCCAGGTATGGGCAATACGGCCACCTCTTCCCCAGGCATGTTCAAACCTTTCAGCGGGGGAGCTGTTGGTTGTTTTTTAAATTACAGACTAATAGTCCTGCAGCACCTTAGAGACCAACACCACCTGGCGCTGGGACTGTGAGCTTTTGTGGGCACAACCCGCTTCTTCGGATGAGCGGAGTTTAAGGGGCCAGGTTTTGTCTCAAGCTGGGTTTTGACATTGGCTTGTAATAATATGGAAACTTTGAGCTCCATGAGTGAGTGCCCGGGCAGGACTGGCAGACTGTGCATCCACCAATTGGATCTATGCCATCGAGTGCCAGCCATGCCCCTCTGCCATGTCTCTTGGCCAGACTGGACGGTCTCTGACAAAGGATGAATGGACACAGTGCCAGCCATGCCCCTCTGCCATGTCTCTTGGCCAGAGTGGACGGTCTCTACGACAAAGGATGAATGGACACGCATCAGATATTCAAATGGCAACACACACGAACCTGTTGGGGAACTGTCGCCTGCCCGGGCACTCGCTCACGGATCTCAGCCTTGCCATATTATTACAAGCCAATGTCAAATCCCAGCTTGCAGGGCTTAATTTCATCGACAAGTTTGATACCTACAGTAGCGATTTAAACAAAGACCTTAACTAGATCACCTGCTACATTCCACATCCCAGCGGCTGGAGGGGGATGGCAGGAGACAAATCGCTTGATCATTGTCTTCAGTCCATCCCCTCTGGGGCACCTGGTGCTGGCCACTGTCGGCAGACAGGACACTGGGCTAGATGGACCTTTGGTCTGACCCAGTACGGCCGTTCTTATGGCATAAAAGGCCAAACACCAGGTACCTCAGAGTACTTGACCCCTCCCTATCAGCTTCCTTTAGCATGGACACTCGAATTGACCGTTCTTCTCCCATTTTTTCCTCCTCTCCCTCCCCATCTCCTCTCTTTCTCTAGTTATTTGGAACCTGGCCTCCTTAAACTCCGCTCATCTGAAGAAGCGGGTTGTGCCCACAAAAGCTCACAGTCCCATCGCCAGGTGTTGTTGGTCTCTAAGATGCTGCAGGACTATTGGTTGTTTAAGTTTTTCCCCCGAAGGAGAGACACCTGGTGCGACATCGATTCACCCAGTCACAGTGCACCTGGTCCTGTGCAACAAATGGGGGGTAGGGCTCAAGTAGTACTGCCCTAGCCTACAGTGCAGGGCACCCTGGCTTCCCAGAGCAGTGCAGCCTGACCCCTGGAATCCACCCGCCCAGAGCAGCATGGCCTAGTGGTCAGTCCCTGAGCAGCACCCATGCCTGCAGTGAGTGTGGGGCAGAGGAGGGGGACCCAGGTTGTGAGAAACCAATAGTCTGTAATTTCTTATTTTAACCATTACGTTCCCTGTGCTGCTCTCTATCCGCAGGTCTCGTGTGGTCGGTTCTGGGGTACAGGTGCCGTCCAGCTCAGTCTCTGCAGACGGTAGCCCCAGCTGCTCACTGGCAGCACGTTACTCTCCTCCGTCGCCCAGCCTGTCCAGGCCGAGCGTGCCCTGCAGGGAGGGGGAGTCCCTAGCAGAGGCTCGGGTTCCAGCTGGGTCTGTAAACGACCTCGCCCACTCGGCTCAAGCGGGCTGGAAACGGGCTTGAAAATGAGGCTTGAGCAGCCGTCTCCTTGACTTGAGGCCCACGCCTCAGTCCCCCGCCCCGCCATAAAATGGGGCTTCCAGAGACCCAATCTGCTGCTGGGGATGGCCCGACTGCCACGGACTTACCAGGTGCTGAGCCAGGCCCTTCTTGGGAGCCCCCACCCCAACCCAGCCTGTGCTGGGTGAGAACCAAAGGGCACTCTCCCCGCAGTGGCACCCTGGTGGGGATGACGAGACATGCTTAGCCTGGGAGCTCCGCAGGGCCAGGACGATCGATGGCCGCTCTGGGCCAGGGCCGGCCTTTCTGTTCTGGGTTTGCAGGGCGACCGGCTCCCAGGCCAGGCCCGGGGCTGCCCCAGCACAGGGGAGAGGCTGACAGACTGTGGTTACCAAACCTGTAGGGGCAGCCTCTGCAAAGCACCTGGTAGACAGAAGGCTCCGGGCCGTGCAAAAGGCCCCACTGCGCTACTTCACGCTGGGCTGGATTTCCGGAGCACGCTGGAAAGCAGCTGGAAAACGGTTCTGCTCCAGCGTGGAGCCCGGCGGTGTCTCGAGCTTCCTCCTACTGTCTCCTCCCGCTGTCCTTCGCTTGCCCCCATGCCGGGGGGTCCGGGGGGCTCAGGGCTGGGTTCTGGCCTCGTGCTTAGCAGGCTCAGAGCGCTCTTGCACGTTGAGCCCAGAGGAGTCCGGCGTGTTAGCAGCTGTGTCTGGGGAGGAGCGGTGGCGCAGGACAGCACGTTGCTATCGAGGGTTCTGGTTCTTTTTATATTTTAATAGAAAGCCAAGGCCCTGCTGAGGTAGCGAAACAAACAGCGGCCGGCTCCAAGGGCTGCCACGTTGCATCCGCACAGTTACCTCGGCCTCCGTGAGTCACGCCCAGGGCATCCAACCCCGGGGAGCTGCCAGCCCCTCCCCTCTGGTTCTGCCCGCCCTCGGTCACAGCAATATGGACTGCACGTGCTCAATGGCTCCGGCCGGGTCTGCTTTGTGCAGCATGAAGTGGCCCTGCACCTGGGCGGCGCTGATCTGCCTGGAGACGCGCAGGGCCTGCTCTGCGAACTTCTCGCCGGTGGCCGCGGGCTGCTCGGGGTAGAAGCGCTGGAACATGCGGGAGATCTGCCAGTGGGAGCAATACCCCACATGCTGCTTCAGATCCACCCGGCCGGGGCGCACCAGGGCCGGGTCCAACCTGCGGAGGCAGAGACGGAGCGGTGCTGTCAGCCAGCTGCGTGGAGCTCAGCTCCGTGCACGTCTCTGTGTGGCCTCCAGTGCAAACGTCCCCTTGAATACCAGCCCGGAGACCTGCCCGCTGTGGCACAGAAGGACGGGCAAGGTCCCCCAGGGCCGGCCGGCTCAACAGAGAAACCGGCAGAACTAGACAGAGGAGGGCAGCAACCCCGGGCCTTCCTGGACAGCTCAGGCTTCTGGGGCACCGTCCCCTCGGCACGCCTGGGCCTGGCTTCCTGCTGGGGAAGGAGCAGCAGCCGGGAGCTCTGCACGGGAACACGGAGGAGGGCTGAAAGGGACAGGACCCAAGCCAGGGGAGAGGCGGGCTGGGAGCTCACAGCGACAGTGGAAGGGGGGCTGGGTATCTAGCCAGAGTGAGGAACTGAGGCGGGCGCCAGTGGGTCTGATCTCGCCTCGTGCGCCCTCGTACCCCGCAAGGGGGTTCCTGCCCTGGGACCCCCGCCCCGCGGGAGACGGCTCTGACCTGGGCTGAAAGGGACAGGACCCAAGCCAGGGGAGAGGCGGGCTGGGAGCTCACAGCGACAGTGGAAGGGGGGCTGGGTATCTAGCCAGAGTGAGGAACTGAGGCGGGCGCCAGTGGGTCTGATCTCGCCTCGTGCGCCCTCGTACCCCGCAAGGGGGTTCCTGCCCTGGGACCCCCGCCCCGCGGGAGACGGCTCTGACCTGTCGACGTGGTTGGTGGTCATGAAGACTATCCTGGCCTCCGTGGAGGCGACGCCGTCCAGCGCGTTGAGGAGGCCGCTGAAGGTCAGCCGTCCCATGACCTG